AGAGGCTGTGGAGGCTCCTTCTCTGGAGATGTCCAACCCGCCTGGATGCCCCCCTGTGCCCCGTGCTCTGGGTGTCCCTGCTGGAGCAGGGGTTGCACTGGATGATCCCTAGAGGTCCCTTCCAACCTCAGCCGTTCTTGGATTCTGGGGAAGAGTTGCTGTGTCTCTGCTGGGGAGATTTCAGGCTCTTTCAAGATTTCCAGCTTTTGCAGCACTTCCCTCAAAATGCCCACAATAGAAAAATTTCAGAGGTATTTTATCTTGATCAATATTTGGATGTATTCTTCCACTTTGCTAGTGAATTTGGATTTACTGCCCTCTTAATACTATGTTAGGAGACACAAGGGAGGAACAGCTAGCGAATGCCTGTTTTTCTGCCCCAAAATAGCAAGAGTGAGAGTAATACTGAATCCTCAGGCTTAAATATTAGTATTTGTCTTCTTCATCCAGAGTTGTGGACACGGAGCACACACTCAGTAAACAGCAGTGGATTTTGGCTCGCTTCAGTAAGGGGTACACAAAGACTCTGGAGATTTATCCAGTTTGTAGCAGCCGTTACTGACCCCGTAAATCAAGTGCACTGCTTTAAAGGGAAGTGTGACCACTGGGGATTTTAAAAAAAACACAACTCTGCTCCGTCTCAGTTCAGTACTTTACCATCCTCTCCATCTTTTAAGCCTTCTGTCAATAATGGCTATTTCTGTAGCATGCTGTGGATGTTGTTTCTGGTTTCCAGAACTCAGTCCCGTTCTGAAAATATGGATTGGCCAAAGGCCAGGTGTTGGTTTTGGCCTCAGCTTGAAGATCTGAACATGGCTCTGTAATGAGCACTGTGCTTATACATGTCTCACTGTCAAAAATCTGTACAGACCATTGCAAACTGGGTCCTGTTAATGATTCATGAAGATTTGCTGGACCTGTTCTGCAAGTCCAGCTCCATACATTTGTGCCTGGGTCACTGTCCAGCTGCTTTTTTATTGGAGTGAGTAGAATATCCCTAATCCTCTTTTTGTGCCTTTGGTCCCTGCTACGTCTCGCCGTCAGGATCTGAGATTGTGACCTTGGCTGTGGAGCTTCACTACTTCGAAAAATCTCCAAAGTCATGAAAAAAACAAGAGGAAAAACCACCATACACCACCTGAGGACACGTGTCCCTCTTCCCTCTCGAGCTAGCAGAGCACTCCCAGCTTGCAAGCAGGGCACCCCAGCAATGCTGTGATGCTGGAGACATAAAAAGAGACAAAGAAAAGCAACACTCAAAGCCCAAGGTCCTGAAGAATGCATTAGGGAACCTGTTTTCTCTCCTCAAAGTAATAGGAGGCAATTTGAAGCTGTGAACTTTCCTCCAAAAAAAAAAAAAAGTGAAGTGATGCATTTGCATTTAGCTTAACAGGGTTCTTTCTTACCTGTTCTTTTAAACATTTTGCCCAAAATTCTATAGGGAAAATTTGTTTTCATCTGCTAAATTGCAGCCATTTTTACTGGAGATAAACTTAGATTGTAAATATTGCACTTTAGAATTGTTAATCAGAAACTTTTACTACTCTTAATTAGAAACTTGTAAAGATAGAGATTAATAAAGATTGGAGAGAGAAGTTTGCTAGATTGAGTGAGTATTAATTACCAGAGCAGTTATTGGATGCACATTCAAATTTCTCTTTTGAAGACTAGATTGAAATTTAATGCTATTTTCATGCTAAGGACTGGAGCATATGCATACCAAGAGAATATGTGCAAAATATTGCATGGGTGTGCTTAGCAGACTAGTCTACTAAATTGCATTTTAAGTTCAACAGTAGTTTAAGGAGGGCAATCCAAAGTCTATTCTTTCATTTATTTTTCTTGAGAACCTATTATATCTATTCTTTGGATATAATATACCAATGAAACTCATAGGAACACACTGCTGAGGGCAATATTCCCTGGTACTACTCTGGTGCATAAAAAACAGATTAAACTTTGGAACACGAAGTTGGTTTTAGGAATGAATAATAGGAAAAAAGTTTATTTTGAATTCTGTTCGCTCCAAGAAACTCTTGAGCAGGGATTGTTTGCAGCATTTCCTCTCAGAAAGTTACCACTGTTGTAAAAAAAAAAATGCTCTGAAGTTTCTTGTCTCATGTTCTCACTTCCTTTTCATAACATTTAGGCCAGTAATGACTGTATCTGATGGAAAATCTAGGGAATATGCAGGAAGGGACTCTGTGATGAATTATAAATAACCTGCAGGGTATTTATAATCTTATGTAAATAAACACATGGTGCTGCAGAGGACAACGGCATGAAAAGATTGTAACGGCCGGATTTTTCTTTTTATTCCAGCTCATTCAGACGAACAAACTGAAACATTATCCAAGCATCCACGGAGACTTCAGCAATGACTTCAAGCAGCCGTGTGTGGTGTTTACGGGGCATCCCTCTCTCCGCTTTGGGGATGTGGTTCATTTTATGGAGTTATGGGGAAAGTCTAGCTTGAACACTGTTATATTCACAGGTAAGTGAGGTGCAGGTCAGAGTGTCAAATTAACAATAGGTTGTGCACTGTGCTTCAGTGTGGCCTCATCCTAGGGGCTTTGCTCACTTGTTCTGGGCCAGAAGTTTCTGGCTTCATATAAAGCTTCATCTAAATGAAGACCCCAGGATTGACTGTAGTGACAACTATAATTATGGTGACATTTAACTTGCGTTAGCCCTGCAGAGCCGACCTTTGCCATGCAGAGTCAATCCTTGCTGGTTCTAAGCAAAATCTTTGTTATGCACAGCAGTAAAATGCCTACAGGAAATTAATTTCTAGATTAAAAACAGCTGGCTGCAAGTTAAATCCAAGTGAGACCTAATTGGTACTGGTCAGAAAGGAGAAACACTTTGTCTCCATCTTCTGCTGGAATCACACATCTTCCCTCCTCACTTCTCCTGCCCTTTCATCAAAGCCTCAAACTCCTACTTGCCTCTTCATTAAGCTTGTACAACTGATAAGTCTTTTCCTAAAGGATTTTCCGTCACCTTTGTTTTTCTAGGAGCATTCAACCCATAAAGACCTGGCACTAGTGATCTAGACCATTAAACTGAGGATTCCCTTTTCTTTTTCCTTTCCCCTGCCTTTTGGTTGACCCGCACATTTGTATCTGGAGCTGAACACAGAGCTCTAGCTAATACCCAGGGGAGCTGCTGGCCCTCTCAGTGACTCAGACTGCCAGGCCTTAAGGCCTGTCCTTAAGTGCCTCCATTTTTCCCAGTCAGCTTCTAATGCTCACCCTAATTTTAATGAATATAATGAATCAAGCCCTATCCACCTCAGAATGACCTCTAAGTCTGCAAACCACTTGGTCAGTTGCATGCTGAGATGATGCCCATCATTTAACAGCAAGACAGAGTATTTAAAAGAAAGCACAAAGCTTTCTGGAAGATACCTCCTGGAAGACAACTCCAGTTGTGATGTGCTTTGGCTGCATGCGTGACCATGGAACTCACAGGAATTCCAGACACTTGCTGTGGTTTGTTTCCAAATTGGTCTGTGTGACTTTTGGTCTGCGGGTTTTGTCTCTCTGCAGGGATATCCACTCAGCAGGATGTTCCTGCTGCCGTTAGGACCGTCTCAGCTGCAGCCAAGACGGTCTCTTTGTCTGCAGAATTTCCCAGCAGATTAAATTCTTCTGTTCTTAGTAACTCCGGAGGAAATCCGAGGCACCTTCGTTGATTCTCTGGGTTTATATTATTTAATTATCTACCTTCTCCTGTCTTAAGATAAAATCCCCTGCAGTTATATTAGAAATGTGGTCCACTGAAGCAATATGTGCTAGCAGATGCCATTCTGGCTTTTCCTGTGGAAGGCTCCTGGTATCTAGTAATTAAGACTCTCTACCTGGAGCCATGAGGTATCAGTAATGATGATGCAGGGTCTGGGTAGTCTCCACCTTTCCAATTTGTAATGTCAAAAACAAGGATAAAAGACTAAAACAGCAGCTGCTGGCAGTAGATGGGACACCAGCTGGGAGTAAGCCGTAGTGCTGCTCTGTTCTCTACAAATGTTACTGCTGAAACAGCATTGAGTAGATTATTGATTAAAAAATTGGATATCACTAGGCCAAAAAGATATTTTAGAAGAAAGCATTGTAGAAAATCTGCTTTTAAAGCATTGTTGTTATTGGAGAGACAGCAAGAAGCAGGGATTCTGGGAGATCGCACAAGATCCCTGGGAGATCTTAAGCCAGCTCGTGCATGCCACATCAGTGGAAGGTTTTATAACTCGAAGTGTCACACAGTGGTAAATCAGGTATTTGGGGAAAAATCTGAAGACCTGTAATTCTTTCAAAAAATAAAAAAGTTAATATGTGTCCTTGACAAGTGCTGTCTTCCGTGAGACTGTTGACTTCTGCTTTTTTGATAGTTCCAAAACAGCAATTCTGTTATCTCAAACAGTTCCCGTCAGAACAGCTCAGGTTGTTTCTCACCTTTTCTGAATGTTGAAACTCACTTGTTAGAATTAGTATTAGAATTTCTTCATTTGAATGTCTCTTTTATTCCAAGATTATTTATCTTCCTCTTAGTTGTTCAGAGAGATCATAGCTTGGATACCGTTTCGGACTCTTAGATTCAAAAAGAAAAAGAAAATCCAAATCTATAGGTTATCCACACTTCATAAAATGTTCAGTTGATTAAGTGCTACCTTATGACATTTTCAAATACAAGCAGTCAAATCTCCATCATCCACACCCGATGAAATGAAAAGAATCAGCCCCAATAATTTTTTTAAGCTCATTATTTACTATTTTAATTGTAATCTCTAGCAAGAGGACCTTGTGCTTGACTGTAGTTATCTTTTTTAACCCCACATGTTTTTAAAAGATCTTATTTAAGCCTGATTGACCACTGATCATTTTTCATCTAATTCCCACCTCATTACTGATTGCTCATCAGCTTAGTACCAGTAACTCCCCCTCTTTTTACCCTAGTATTTTTGTACTTTGTTTCACTGTCACTCACACATCTGCTTTTAACTAGGAGGGCTTTTTGCCGGGTATAATTTTTTGTTTTGTGCTTGTGGATTCATGGCTTTGGGGGCATCTGTAAGAGGTTCTTGTGCAGTGACAGATGTTTGTTAACATTTCTCGCTTTGATGTTTCCAGGCAGTGGTGATGACAATTGCTTGAAACTTTGGAAAATTGCCCCTTTGATGATTCCAAATGTGCATCATCAGTTGATGCTCCATTCTTTTTCACCCAGAGCAAATGAACCCACGTCATGATCGTTGGTCCCTAGCCAGCAGCAGATATTTAGGCTAACAATTAACTTGTCTTTATGAAGCAAATGATGCCCAGGATTGGATTTTGAAGTCTTCTAGCAAGACTTGCAGGTTCAAAACTCAATTTCACCCTGCAGGTTGTCCCTAGAGGCCCTGTGGTTCAAAATGGTTTAATAACTAACAGTCTTTGCCTGCCTTTGCTTTTTCACCCATTCTGTCTTTACCAAGCTAACACTATTTTCTTTTTTTCACCATTCCCACTGCATGACGAGTCCCACAGTCAATCCTGTATGAAATCCCTGCCACAGCCCAGCTCAGTTTTTGGATAACCTCTGATACGAGCAGCCTTCAGCAAATCCTGTCCTGAGCTGGAATTGCTCTCTTGCCAGGACTGTAAAACGACCAAGTGATTGTCCCTCCAACAGGAAAACTTCCCTCAGATGCTCCTGAGTTGTGCTAAAATTTTAACAAATGGATCCTCATTTTTCCATCAGTCCAAACCTGACACTTAAATTAAAATACACATTCATATAAATAATGTTTATATGTACATAAACTGTAAGGAAAAGGGGGTTTGGAGTTAATGTGTCTCCAACAGGGGACATTTGTACAGGTTAATGAAGATAGCAATGTTTATGCTGTGTTTTTGTCATAGTGAAAAACAAGCTGACATTTGGGTTACCTTGTGATACTCCAAAACATATAAATCTTGCCTTTTTTTTAGCAGATCTGATTGAAAGAGGTGATGTTTTACCTTGATTAAGTTTGTTATAAGAATCATGCAATAATGTGTTCAAATGAAATAGTATTGCTCCATTACTTGATTAAGGCAAGGCTAATTGTGGGCATAATTTTCATCAAATTAACTGAAAATAATGGGATGGGGGAAGGAAGAAAGGAGGGGATATCTATCCCAGAATTAACATTGCTGAACAACAGCCTGTCTAGACCAGAACATGGAAAGAGAGAGGGGAACTGGGCACTTTATTCATAAGAGGTATTTAATGTTTTCAACATTTCTCTTTTCAGAACCAGATTTCTCCTATCTGGATGCACTGGCTCCTTATCAGCCTTTGGCTATGAAATGTGTGTACTGCCCCATTGACACAAGACTTAATTTTATTCAAGTGTCTAAGTTACTCAAAGAAGTCCAGGTAATGAATTTCTATTGTCTCCTCTTACATTTCTGCATGCCCCTGAAATAGAGCGCAAAGCAGATGATGTTAAGATTCCCATCCTCCTTTTTAGAGGATATGTAATTGTAAGTACTTTTTTTCCCCTTATTCTCTTTCCAGTTTGTATAAATATGCCTGGCTGTGTCTAATACAGTCTTATGGTTCACCAATGCCAAGTGTTGAACAACCTCAGAGCCCTCAGTTTTCACCAGCTCCTGCATTTCTGGCTCTTTATGCCTGCAGCTGATCCTTGCCTCGGTCCTGGCACTGCTGCTTTGGGCCTCCACTCTCGTGTCTTGCATTTTTTTATGCCTGAGCTTTTCTTTTGGCTCTGTATTTAGCCTGGCAAGCACAATAATACATGTTCTTTGAAACCCTTTACCAGTGTCATCTTGTGCCATTGTTTGGTGACCTGTTGTCATTGCTTGATTCTCTGACAAGCATCTTCCATGTTACTCCTGAAGCAGGATGCTATTTCCAAAAGAGTTTGCAGAAACAGCATCTTGTCCTTTGGTTTCCTTAAATCCTGTGCTGAACCTTGAGGCAACCAGCTGGTTTAGGCTTTGTTAATATATTCCTCACAGCTTATGGAAACTCCGAATTTCCCCTTCGGCTAATATTTGCAGTCTTGTGTTTTGATACATGTCTATTTTGCTCCATGCTGATTTGAGAGGGTGCCCACCATTACTGGCATGTAATTCCGATTTAGATGATAAGATTTTGGAAGATAAAACTATTGAATGTTTTACTATTTTCTTTCCTTATGGCATCTAGCATGACTGAGTGCTGATACTTCAGTGGTGTTTTAAAGACCCAAATTTAGGCCTTATTACTCCGGGCAGTTTTTATATACAGAGCAAGACTGCCTGTCCCTTGAACAGCTTATTCTGATCCTGACGGGATCTTCTGGATTGTATCTTTTGTATGTTATTTTCATACAAATAAATTAGCTTGAGAACATTATCTTGAAAACCTCGCTACAGCAGCAATTACAGTATAATACAGAGCAGCACAGCGAGTTAGCAGGACCTTTCTGGGTGTCACCACAGTCTTCAAGAGGAAATGGCCTCAAGTTGTGCCAGGGGAGGTTCAGGTAAGACCTTAGGAAGAATTCCTACATGGAAAGAGTAGTCCAGCCTTGGAACAGGCTGCCCAGGAAAGTGGTGGAGTCCCCGTCCCTGGCAGTGTTCAAGAAACGCAGAGATGAGGCACTTAGGACCATGGTTAGCAGGTTGTGGTGTTGAAGTGTTTACAGCTGGACTCGAAGATCTTGAAGGTCTTGAACCGTAACGATTCCATGATTCTGTGGTTCTTTTCCAGCCTCTCCACGTGGTTTGCCCGGAGCAGTACACCCAGCCACCACCCACGCAGTCCCACCGCACGGACCTCATGATCGACTGCCAGCCGCCGCCGATGTCCTATCGCCGAGCAGAGGTGCTGACCCTGCCCTACAAGCGGCGCTACGAGAAGATCGAAATCATGCCAGACGTGAGTGAAAAAACGGGAAAACCCAGGGGCTCTTTGCTCATTCGGTCAATTCAACTAGAGGGCCTAGCGTGGTTCTGATTTCTTATTGACTGGGAACATGTGAAGCACTTTTCTCAAGTGGGAGGCTAAACAAGAAACATTTCTGACCTCTGTCTGTTTGTCACACTCATGCAAACTAATGGGAGCAACATCCAATTGGATGTTGAAGGCCCCATAGTAAAATGGCTTATTTGTGTTAAAAGTTTCAATTAATGGTTAATTCTTAAAGCCTGCTGAAGTCCAGCAGTTTAATGGGTTACTTGTAGCCACCTCTCACATGGATTACTTATGCCCAAAACATCTATTAATAATTTACTAACCCCCTAATATATATAAATTGACTCATAAAACAAAGGGTAACCCATATTCTAACAGCCATGATCTTAAAATAATTTTTCCACGATACAGTTAGCACAAATATGTCCATGGATCAAAGCAGATGTTACAGCACCCGCTCCTACCTCTCTGTGTGTCTGCCTCAGTTCTGTAAGGAGGCTGCCCAGAATTGGCAGAAACAAGGAGGGATTTTTTAATTAGAAAATATACTTGGGTGCAGCTTTATCATGGCGTGAGTATTTAATTACTTTGGAAATTTGCATATTTATTGGATCCTGTTAAAGCTAGTAAAGTGTGGCTTACGTTCACCAGTGTGACCAAAACAAATCTGATGCTCTGAAGATAATGTTCTTCCCTCTGCAGAGAGCCAGCGTGCAGCCTACCTGCAGGTTCCATTGCACGTAAGCCTTGGGTTTTTCCCTAAATTGTGAGGGTGTAAGTGAACCTTTATCTGCAAGCTCATCCCTTGTCTCAGCCCTGTGAAGAGAAAAGATAGCAGTTTTCCTGGCAAACGGAATGCAAATTTGCACAGATACTACACATGAATATTCACCAGCCCTCATGCATTTTGAAGATCTTGTCACGGGTTGTCTTCAAGTTTGCTGGACTGGTTCATGGGAGATGCGTGTTCACTTATCAGTCTTCCCAGGTGATTAGCACAAGTCTGCAGCACCAAATGCAGCTGAAACTAGAAAATGGAACAAAAAGATGCTCGGGACTGTAGAGCTCCTTAGCAGCTCTTCATCAGATCATCTGCATCAGAAAACAAGTCAGTGTTTCTCCTGTTAGCCTGGTCTTTCGTGTCAAGCTGCCCTACAGCTCAGGTTCAAGAGTCCATGTGGGCTGAGCCTCACTGGCACCAAAGTGATCATGCTCTTCCTTTCGTTGCCTCAGATCTCCAGAGTTTTTTAGGTGCTGTCTCTCACAGAGGCAGATGTCTTCTTTCCGAGTTTGCAGGTAAAAAGGGAGTAGGGAGGTCATTGCACATCCCAAAACTCCTGGGGTGGTAAGGGGAGGATGCACTGAGGACAGTGTGCTCCTCACCAAGGCTCTAACAAATACCAAAAACCATCAGATTGTATTCACACAAGAGCCCAGAGACCTGCCTGCCCAGGGAGTGGAAACATCTCCTGTGGTGCCCACGTCCAGGTATCCTTGCTGGATTCTGTGATTCTGACATTGGCCCTGCCAACCTGCTGCAGGAAACTACTTAGCATGTCACAATTCTCCTACATCTCCCCTACTCTGTATAAGCACTTGGGCAAAATCATCTCAAATTCACTATTTGATTTTCAGATATGCAGAAGAAGGAAAACATTGAATGCTTTGAGGGCCTATATTTCCTTGTGAGAAATCCAGCCTGTCAGGCTTGTAAATCTATGGATCCTGCAGGAGCTTGTCTACATTTGAGTCATTTCAGCATCAGAACAAAGTCGGGTCAAGCAGGATTCTTGCATGTTAGTGAGATTTACACGCAGAGCAGCCTTTGTTTAGAGAGAAGTTTTAACATTCCCAAGGCACCGGGCTGAAACAGCTCTCTGAGGCATTGTGGAAGCCTTTCCACTTTAACTAATTTGTTCTTCTCAGCATCTGCCTTTCACTTAAAAAAAAAAAAGTAATAAAAAAAAGGCTGCTTCAAGGCTGCTTCCTGGAAATTGGTTGGGCTCTGTCTTTTCACAGAATGATTTGGAAATGGAAAGCACCTTCTGGAGCAAACAGATAAATTCAAGAGTGGTGTTTGAGCAAATAATGTGCCTCCAGTTTAATTAGAGCTGAACAATGGTGCGTATCACCGGATTTCAGCAGCAGACTGACTTCAGGGAGGACTCTGGGCTCTTCATATACTCTGGTTGCAAGTTGCTTAGGACACAGACCAACAGAGCAGAGTGTGGCCATGCAGTCCCCTGTCCCCTGTGAAGTGAAATCAGGAGGAACTGTTGCAGAGAAGAATTAGAAGCACCACTGTTAGGATCATTAGCAGCCCGTTCTAATTGTGTAGCTTTCATTGCAGCCTCCCCTTCTCTCAGCTTGACTTTTCTCTCCTTTTAAGATTTTGCCAAGTCCTTTTGAGAGACACAGAAACAAAACAGGACTTTCATCCTAGCTCTGAAACTTCCTTCTGTGTTTCAGGGACAGAAGAGTTTCATTTCTCTGTTCTCTTCTAACCCTCCTCTTGGTGTACACATGAAAATCTCCGGTTGCTTCTCTTCCATTTTGTAGGATAACACTCTTTACACCCAACCACACACCTGTCTTCTCCATAAGCACCAACAACTTGACGCTCTGATCCATAAACTGGTTACAATATTTTGCATGCTTTGAATCATACCATTGTAATATCCTTCAAATGACTCCTCTTTTGTATTTGCAGGGTGCTTGCCTCCTCCTTGAAGCTATTCCATGTCCTTACTTTCCCTGCCTGTCATTTGTCATGCAAGATTGAGGCTAATTTCCACATGTGCTGGTTCCAACTTCCACTGGCCTCTTGCAGTTCTTTCCTGCCTTCTCCCGGGCTATGCAGCATACTGTGGAAGAGCTCTATTAAACAGCCATAAATCTACTTCATTACACTTTTTAAATACCTCTTTAAAACTGTCTCTTGGCACAGTATGGGCAAAAAGCCAACGGTGAGCTTTTGTAGTGCATCCAGTGCCTGTAATCCCCTCCAGCGCTGCTTCCTGTTGGTAGGGCTGTACATATCCTTCTGCTTTCATCTCCAGGCTTTGGGGACCAGGGCCATCATGTTGATCTGTCTCCCCACAACCCCCTAAGTGGGATTTTAAGCTCTGCTTCAATGCAAGAAGCAGCGAGGAAGGTGGTGGTTGCCTGGAGCACGTACGTGGAACGGTAGTAGTTTATTCCATTGCTCAAAAACATGGGATCACCCCTCCAGCCTGTTTTGTTTCAGCACTAGATTTTAACCCTGTGGAGTAGTAAAGCTACAATGTGGGCAAGTACAAATAGCATCTAAAATATAAAGAGTTACAGCATAAACTTTCATCCACTGAGGTTAAAGAAACTTTAAAATCCACTTTGGAGAGAATTGCAGGCTGGAAGGTCTGTTAAGTGCGAGTGAGTTTAGCCACATAATGATCCCATTTCAATCCCTTCCATGCTGTAGAATGTGAGGCAGAACCATCAACAAGACATGACTCATCTCCATCCCTCAGTGATTATGTAGATGCCCTTAGTTACAGGATGTTCTTCTGTGCTGGAAGTGCCTCTAATTCCTTTATGTCCCATTAGAAAGGTTCCCTAAGTCGTTTCCATTCTACTGCACCGTGTTTAATCCGCTTGCTGCCCATGAATGCTCACTCCACAGGCATAGTTAAGTCTTTAGACCTCTCCCCTTGGTGCATGTGTGTGACCACATATCTTTTTGTGTTCCTCTGTGGGAGCTGGTGCTTGCAGAGGCAGTTCTGGTGCTCGGCCCCTGCCTGGCTCACCAGATGGTTTAAACCCAGGCTGAGTGGGCTTGAGACTTCACGCAATCATTTCTGGTGCCTTTCCCTGTCTGCTTTGCAGTGACTCAGTAACAGAGCCCCTGGCACTTAAAAAGTAGAGAAGGGAGAAGAAGAAGCAGGGAGGTAGGAGGTGAGGCAAATTTTCTTCCTTTCCTAATGTTGCCATCCAAATAAGAAGAACTAACAGGATGATGACCGTGGTTTTTCTCCTGTTTACAAAACTGACTATACAGATCATCCCTGCTTATATCTGCAAGGGTATCCTATGGATTTTAAGCATGTGGAATATGTAGGGGCTGTTCTTATCAAAAATGCACTGGGAAGGGTGCGTGAGCAGCGAGGAGGGTGGGGACAAGGGTGTTGAGGCAGCTCTCCAAGTGCTTGTTGCAAAAACTGCTGTAAAATCCTGACCAGGAAGAACTGGTGAAGGCAGACAGGGCTTCAAAGCCTGGAGCTTCCTGAATAATTGAGAGGCCACCTTTTTTTAGTAACATGTGTTCTGCATCCCTTACAGGGGCTTGAGTGGAAGTCTTTTCATTCCTGGTAAGCTCCAGCACTGGAAGGACTCCTTTCCTAACACTGGAAATGTCCCCGTGGCTTACGTGGCTACAACCCAGCTGCAGTTGTTAATGGTGTTCAAAACATGCCTCAGAAAATGTAAGGCACAAACGTCAAACTGGGAAGACTTTTGCCCCTGCTGTTCCCACTAGATTGCTGTTCAAACCCCCACGGTCTCCGATGGCTGGAAACATCCTCATTTCCAGCCTACACATATTCATGGCTGCTCTGCACAAATACACTCTTAACCTCGTGTTTTAGCATAAACAGATTTTCTCTTTTGTTGTTTTTTCCCCTGTGGAGTTTTTGTAGAATAATCAAATTCTGCTTCTGCTTTTTTTTTTTTTTCTACCAGGCTAAACAAGCCAAGATAATTTAGTTTCCTCTTACAAGACAGCTTCTCCTGCCCTGATCTACCCTTCTGTATATCTTTCTTGAACTTCAATTACCCACAATTTCCAAGAGCCCAATATAACAGCAATAGCTCATCTCTGCTAGAATTACCTGATATTTTCTGGAGTTGCATTTGCCTTTTTTCATGTCTGTGTCACATTTGTGGCTCTCGGTTCTCATGGGTTGGACTAATAAACCTAAACCCTTCACCTCTGTCATTTCCAGCAGCTGCCAGCTCACGGCAGAAATTCCCTGCATTAGCCAGGCCCTGGCCTTGCATTTCATGCTATTGAATTTCAGCTTGTTTTTCTCACTCCACTGCGTGAGGTCATCTAGTCCTTGCACTGTGGCAGCCTGAACTTTCTTTCTGTTAAAGGTTTCTCTGCAAAATTCAAGGTTGCCTTTTGCACATCCCTTTGCTCAGTACTGAGGTGATTAATAAAGACTGGACGGGCCTGGGCTCAGGGTTTGAGGAACTGCAGTATCAGCCCTGGGGCTCTCACCTTTGCCCAGCACTGTCCCCACCTCACTGAACAAAACTGGTTGCTGCCCCAGCAAGTATATTCTGGCTTTATTCTCTTCTATTTTCCTAAGGATTTTGCAAGGTGTTGAGTTCATAACGGGTCTTTCCTGCCCAGTGCTCTTTATTGCATGGCCTTGGTCTCTGTGGTTTGATCCAGCTGCAACTCTAGCTCCTGTCTCTAATGCCCAGCTGATACTTGCATGTCCAGTTTGCACATCTGACAAATGCATATTTAACACTGAAATGAAAAATCAGCTAGGTCCCCTTCTAAGTACATGTGCTATAAACTAGTGGATGCATCAGCAAAATTCTGATTTTAAAAGCTGAGGGGATTTTGGTTTCACAAAACCCTTGCTGTGTTTCTCCAAGTTCCCTGTCCCTGCAGCCTTGGGGGATGAGGATCCAGTGCATCTCAGACCCTGCGTCTCCCAAGCCAACCTTCCCACACCTCGGGCAAGAACCGTTACGCTTGGACAAGGAGGAAGAGGGAGGATAGAAAGGTTTGGAGAGATTTCCCCCAAATCCAGGGAGAAATTACTGATATTCCCTCCTGCCAGCATAGCTACACGTGCAGTTAATAGCTGCCTGGTGTCGGGATGTGTCCATCCCTGGGAAGTCCCTCGATAGGTGAGCTCCCATTCTGGTCCTTCCCTCATTTCACTCACCGGCTGCTCCGCCTCAGTCTTTCTCCATAGTGAGGGTTTCAGATCCCATCTGCACTTATTTTCAGCTCCTTCTTGCCCACAGTAGGAATTTTGACTGGTGACTGAAGACAAATATGATCCAATGCCCTATATCTCCTTCCCCTGCTTGGAGCTTCCCGTGGCTGGGACAGCACTTGTGGTTTGAGGCTTCTGAGAGGCAACAACTTGTGCTTTTTGGTTCCTTTCTCTTTTGATCTCTGCTTTAACAGGAAGGTATTAAAAACTGGAATGGGCCAAGAGCTTGCACACATACCCACACGTTTGCCTTGATGTGAAGGCAGTCCAAGTGCTCATCCATATGCAGGGAGGGGTTAATGTGCTGTTAGTGCTCAGCACTGTGTGTCTCTCTTTCCATGCCCTCCCCGATGCCAACGTGCGGCATTAAACTCATGGTAATGACTGGAGAGAAGCAGCACTTACTCCTGCATCATGAGGGGGCTTTTCAATCCTGCAGACAAAAGCAGAGCAAAATCCAGCAACGTTGGACAAATCCAACCTTGAAGTAAGACACGGTTTCCTGGCTGCAGGGAAAATTAAAGTTTGGAAGAGCTTGTGGGAGGAGACGGTGGAGCTGCCGCTGCTTGGAGTCTAGGCGAGATTTGCCGTCTCCCTCAAAAGGGTTTCTTTAATCCAGCATTTTGGAAGAATCCCATGATTTGTGTGTGCAGAAGGAGAGGAAAATAACAGTCCTGGCTGGTGCTGGTCACTGAATTCCTGCAGGTGATTAAATGACCTTTCCGTTTGGATCAGCAAACTTGTGTCATGACAGGATTGATCACATCGTGGAGAGGGCAGTGAGATGAGGCAAGAGCATAGAGGAAATACCAACAAACGTCTGTCTTGCTGTCTGTTTGATTATAAATAATGAAGAAGTGCCGTGATTTACCCACTGTGTGGTTAATACCTGCATAAATGATCATAGCAAAATATTTCAGTGGCAGAAGAGGACTTGGTTCAAAGTGTTCTTTTGGTTTTTGAAGATCTCTGTCCTTACAGTGTTTTTCTCCCAGAGAGAGAACAATCTGAACCGACCCTTGAAGTCTGGGGTTCTATGATACACCAGTTGAGCAAAATGTAGGGAATCTGCATTTGAAGATCTCTGTCCTTACAGTGTTTGTCTCTTCCCTTGAAATCTGGGGATCTGGGAGCAAAATGTAGGGAATCTGAGTGCAACCTTAAAATGTGCTTATTTTTCCTACAAGGGATCTGTCCAGCTCTTATTTCAAGCAGGTGCTCTCCAAACACCGACCGTGGCTTTAATAGTGGTAGGTCAGATGTTCAGAGCTGAGTAGAAGTCGCCAGACTCTGCTGGCATTGCAGCTATCAGAAAAGCCCTCCCTTTGCTTTGATGGCATTGGAGTTAGGCCAGAAGGAAAGTCCAGTCACGTCCAGGTGTGTCTGTGTTCACAACACAAGGATTAGAGCTTTGCAGGAATACAGGAATACCTTCCTAGGAGGAGTTTACAGCAGGAGAGAAGTGGGCAGTAAAACGCTGGTCCCCAGAGTTTCTTGAGAAGTGGCCGGTTCGGTTGTTCCGCTCCATCCCTCTCCTCTCTGGAATCACTCAATGGCTTTTGCTAAGAAATTTACTCTCCCTGTCTCCAAAATGGGAATATATCTCATTCCCCAAGGGAGCTTCTGTCACCCTAGAGGTGAATTCTTCTTACCACCTGGCTCCAGCTGCAGTTGCCAAGCGCTCGGAGGGCAGTTCAGGTGATGGTGTAGAGGATCTCTCTAAATGAGAGGGGTTGATGCTCCGGGTAGTTGAATTGCCAGGGAAAACAGCAAAGGAAATTCTGCTTATTTAGGTCTTACCTGTCTTCACATCTGAGGAGATTCACCCCATCCAACAGTACCACCCGTGAGCAGAATAATATAAAAGGCTGTGGAAAAGCTTCTCTGCAGCGACGTAAAGAAAAACCCAAAGAGCAGTTTGGTTCCAGTCAACAGAGCCAGTGGGTTTTTAAGGACAAACCTTTTTTCTTCCAACTATTCTGCAGCCCGAGTGCTGCTGCAAGCAGTGAGGAACTGCACAGAAATTGGCTTTGGGTTTTCACCATCCGTCAAGGTGACGGATGCCACGTTAGCCTTAAGAGGTTTACAAATCCGAGGTATTAGTGAAGTGGTTGGTGTGGATTTATACCCAATTTCTCTTTAATTTGCCTTTTCTGCTGCACCTCTCACCCCGCTCCGAGGATGCTCTGAGAGTCTGCAGCTCTGGGAGCCAAAAAGGGGGCTGAGCAGGTAAGGGGAGCACTCCATGATGTACCTGCAGGGTCGTGTTCACACTTCATTCATCCACTGCCACTTAAATCACCGCGGGATCCCTGCAAATCCAGGGATTCTGGCTCACTGAACCAACTCCTTTCTCTGCAGCTCGCGGATTCGCTCGTGCCCTTGGAGATCAAGCCGGGCATTTCCCTGGCCACCGTTTCGGCCATGCTGCACACGAAGGACAACAAGCACGTGCTGCAGGTAGAGCGTAACGGGAGAGGGAGCAAAATCCCGCGTGCTGCTGGCTTTCCTGGCATTCCCGGTGTCCCGAGGCAGCCGCCGGAGCGATTCCGGAGTGCGCGGGAGTGAGGAATTGCGCTGGGGATGGAGAGTGGGATGCACATAAATCTCACCCCTTGTTTCCTTGTTGGCCGCGTGCCTGGCTGAGAAAAAAGGGGAAGGAGGGTTATTCCCAAAGAGGGGCCGCAAATCCTCCTGCTCTCGTCCACTGCTCCAGCATCAGGCCGGAGTTCATGGACACGCAGCGGAGGGCCGGAGGAGAGAGAGGCCCCCAAACCTGCGAGATGTGCAGGGACTCTCCTCCCGAGGGTGCCCCGGCCCCAGGAATCAATCCATGAAGCAGAGGGAACTCCAAAGGTTACATGAGGAGCAAATCCCTCTCTCCAAGCGTTTGCAAATCCGGAGGCTCCGCAGCGGGAGCCGCTGAGCAGGAGGCGTCTCGGTTGCCTTTTCCTCTGGAGTTGGAGCCTGCAGGGACTCAGGCCCCGATGCTCTGGCTCTTCCCAGTCTCCTGCATCAGGCAGCACCACTGGGAAGAGCCCGGAGCCGCGGGAGGGATTCGGGCACACGAGCAATGGGATGGATTTGTCCTCAGCACCTTTATCTTCCCAAGGACTGAGTTACTACTTCCCTGTGGAAGAGCCTGCGCTGGCACCTCCCCGACCTGACTAACCTGGCACAGGGCACCTGGCCTTATTTAATGCAATAATTTCTCCCTGGTTTA